GGGCCCTGAAGTTTACGGCCCGGTATTCACCTCAGTGGCCCTGAGGGGACTCGAACTGGTGACGATTGGGGAGCAAACCCAAGACCTGACCAATTGAGCAACCTCTCAGGGTCAACTTCAAATGATAAGAGGTATTGTGAGCAATTGAATCAGAGTTAAGAGGAGTAAGACATTACTTAGCCCGTTATAATGTTTGCATGCTAATTTAGCACCAATCACTTTGCTACGAACATGCTAAATTAAAACTAATATACTTACTTGAAAATAAAATTAAGTTGGGGGTGAAACAACTGAAAAGTAACAAGTTACCAAATCTTAGAATCTCACAAAGATAGGCAGCTACCTCAAACAGAATGTCAAGATTAACCTCCACATCTCTCTGTTATAACCATTTAAAAGTGAGCTCCCTATCTTTCTGTCAATGTCGCCTACAGATTTTAGGCAGTATAAAGAATGAATACTTAATCAGCTGGTTATAGCCCCAAGGAGGTGTCTACTTGTTAAATTGAGAAAAATTAAAGCTGGATTTTCTTTAAACTGTCCTCTCATTAAAATCAATGTACTACTCAGTACCCTAGTACTAACTTGCCCCCTAGGAGGACATAACAATTCACATTCTGGAGCTTATATCAGAATGCGAGTAGAAGTCATGCTTTTCCTGCTATAAATTACAGAACATTGTCCACACAAACATTTGACTGCTCATTTGTGAAAGTGGATATGACCTCCCTGCCACAACTATCTTATTCAAAATCTTACTCAAACCTTCATTGTATGGATGAAAAATAGCATCATTACAACAGGGATGCTGGGATTCGTTTTCTTATTTCGCACTTCATTTTTTAATCGTGCATGCAAAGCTTTTGATAACCATAAACTTAAATGGATTAAATTTTTTATAGATTAATTTGTACTCCGTAAAGGTGCTCTCAACCTAAGTTCATTTCATAGTTAAAACTTTACTCTTGCTGATTATTTTCTAAACCAAATTAAAAAATAAATAAAAAATTAGAGCAGGGGATAAAAAAAAGTTCAATTGCATGCAAAATTAAAGCACATATGCACAGTCACTATCAGGCTTCAAGTGTTCATGTATCAGGATCTGCTAGAAATTAATATTGTTATGACTCAGTTCATAGCTCAATCATGAAACAAATGTTTATATTTACTTTTGGATAAGAAAGGCCTTCCTTTGGTATATATATATTTCTCATGTTCTCGTAAATTTCTCTGTACAGTTAATCATTCAATTTAGTTCTAGAAACATGGACAACCAACAAGTGATCATGTGAATCAGCATGCTTGACGAATATTATAAGTGGGGCGTTTGGAGGTAAAACAAAAGTGAAATATCATCAGCTAGTACTCAAAAATGTGAACATCAAAGTCTAAAGCTCCACAATCAATTTTTTCCTTTCCAAGGAAGTAAATGTCATTGCAAATTAACTGAAATACTTCCTACTGGTGATTGTGTAAGCCTGTAGCAACAAATGAATTCTGATGCAACAATTGTGTATCATAGTTGTGGCTCTTAAATCAGAGGTATATATTATGTCTACAAAAGCCTATTCACATGTGAGGTAAAACAATAGTTCTCCAAAAACAGTTACGAAGTCGCAAGAAAAATAAATTGCATTCACTCTATAATACCAATATCTAAACAAGACGCTGACAAGTAAATTGTTTACCTAGAGAAATAAATTTTTCCATGGCATGAAAAACATTGGGTTCCAACACTTTTGCCAATATCTGGTCGAGATATACTACATATTTCCTCATTACAAAATTACATACAACGCATATCACCAAAAATGGCAGTGCTAAATCACATTTACGACGAAGCATCGAACAACGAAAGTGCCAAAACGTTACCACTATTTTAGTGTAGCAACTGAGCCAGTTACCAGTGTTTGGCGTGACAATTCGAGATGTGTAACCAAATCTTTGACCAATTTTCATGTAGTACTATCTGACAATCTGAAGAAAGCCTTCCAATTCTCTACGCCCAAATGTCCTCCCAAGTGATGCATCATCCTTATGCCTTGCAGCAAAGTAAAAAATTAGCCAAGCCACCATAAAATAAACCTCCATCACAGACTGGAAAGCCAATGTGAAAAGGTCTCCAAAAATCCTCCTCAATATCCACCTCCCAGGTGATCCGCAAATTATTGCTTCCAACCACCTTATCTCAAAAGCTGGGCAAAACAATGCCGCTAACATATGACAACCTTCTTTTACAATCTCTCTCCCACCCCTCCTCGGGTCCACAATCACAACCCATGAATCCACCGCAAATATAAACCCCACCATCAAGTCACACAAGAACCATACCACAATAAACCCAGCACTTTCCCACTCGTGTCCTTTAACCCATGGAGCCACATTGGCAAAAGGCATAAATTTCATCCTCAAGAAAACCTTAAAAAACATGTATTGATCCTCAATTTCTCCAAAAAGGTAAATACCAATGAACTGAGCCAGTGCATCCCTCACAGCCCATTTCATGAGAATGAACCCCGAAAGCCTTTTGAGCCCAACACTCGAACCTTCCCATACTGTCCGGAAAAAAGACCTGTAATTCCCCAACAAGTGATCCACCACCTGAAGGAAAACAATTCCATGTACCCATGTGAAGGTAACTATAAATGCCAATACTACATATGCATAGGCTGCGGATAATATGCCCACTAAAAAGAAAAATGAAGTCACATCACCATGGCCCAGTTCAAGACCCTTTATCAGTAAAGGCAAATCGACCACTGTATTACCATCATCCAAATTGCTCCCCTTGACCTTTTTTTCCTCGTCTTCTTCAAGAAAGTTGTTGTTATTCGGAATTCTAGGTTTGAAACTGACAGCACCGGGTCGGATTGTTTGCGGTAAGGGGATTCCATGGTCGATGACGGGATGGGAGAAGCCAGAACTAGGGTTCAGGTTCGAAAGAATCAAGAAAGTCGCATTCAGAAGAGGTTTTTTGGAAGGATGGAACAGGGAGCGGTCTAAATCAGAATCACCGGAGAAAAAATCGTCATCAAGGGTGCCAATACGAGAAAGGTGGAGGAAGGCGCGGCGACGGCGGTGGCGGAGATGATTGGGCTGCTGATGTATTTGAGCAGTGGAGAAATCGAGGCGGGATAGGAGGGATTTTAAGGAGGAATCATGGTCGATGAAGGTAGAAAGATAGTGAGAGGTGCTGTGGACGTTGGAGCGAAATGTCAGGAGGAGGCAGGAGAGGAAGAGGAAGGTGAGGAAGTTGGAGAAGAAGATGGAGGTGCTCTGTTTGAGAATTTGGGCGGTGGTGGTGTGGTGAATGATGGGAGATCGCGGCGGCGACTGCGGTTCTGGGTGTTGATCGTGGTGGTTCATGGTGGTGGTAAATTTTCTGCCACGAATTGGGGATGATTTAACGAATTGGGGTTTGGGTGATGATTTAACGAATATTTGTTAACTTGTGAATTATTTTTGGAAAGGATTAGGGCAGGGAAGATTGGGATCTCAGAGCGTCGTTGTTTCCCGTTGGAAATGAAAAAAAAAAAAAA